AAAAAAAGCTCATGTGGATATCAGAGAAATATACCTAATAGATATAGCATGAAGGTTAAATATGCGTATATACAGACAGATAATTACGAAAGCTCTTAATTTTTAAGTGATCTCATATGAGATCACCGAGAGGGAATGGTTAATAATGTTTATCTCATTTTCATCGCTTACATCCCTTAAGCCATTGCCCGTTACTAACATTCCTCGCCTGTCTTCATAGACCAAGAAAAATTGTACAACCCTGATGTGGCCGCCGAGTCGGAAGTGTGGTTCACGGATTGTTCTCAAAGCGGTGATTTTAGTTTCCCTGAACGCGTGGCTAACCTCTCTTCTATTGTTGACCTGGTAGGTTCTGATATAAGTTCTTATCCCATTTTCCACCTAACCTGACTGCTGTATCAGTCAGTACTTTCTTCCCTGTTTACAACCGTGATCAAACTGAAGTCAAGTTCCCAGGATTGCTGTGAATGATGTTTTCACTAAGATGATTTTCCCTAATAAAGTCGTGTTCGTGTTTGGTTAGTTATATGTTCCCAAAACCAGGGCTAGATTAGGGTATGGAAGACGTTATTGGGCGATGTGCATCCATAACAAGTGTCACACATGGGAGAAGACTGTGGTTGCATGCCTAGGTGCAATCTCACGCCGCGCCAGCCACGTGCGCCTCTCCCACCTCCGGTCACCTTGAATCCCTTGAAACGGGACTTAGCTGTTTGAGAGAGAGAGAGAGAGAGGAGAAAGTGCGACATATGAACCGCAGGTCTTCTATTCCCATAAAATTCCTCATGTGCAAGTCACCGTCCCTGTGCTTTGGGACACACGGTGGACATCATCGAAAACGACGGTCAAACACATGTCCGCAGAGATACCAATTTCGTGGTGCGTCAGAAGGCTGTTTTTCCAGTAGTCTTCTTCTCCAGTTCAGCGTATATACGTTCTCATCTAAGTGTGGGCTTGCTATTGCAGTTTTTAACACGGCCGAAATGTGCAAGGGTCAACTTTACCTTTGGATTTATGTCGTATTCCTTAATGGAAAGGTTAATATAATCCTATTACTGAATAGCCTGTTCCCAGGGAAGTTCTCTTACGCATTACTCCTAACTTGCTGCCTTTGTTCACTGAATCTCGTTTGTTGTGATGATCGAATGACTCCTACTTTTTCCGACTTTTTAAATGGCTCGCCCTAATAGGTCTGCACACACTCGACGAAAGTTCGGCCGTCGTATCTAACCATATTTATGCTCAGTCAGACCGGCTCAGTATCTGCTGCAGTCTCTTTTCCCTCACCCGTTTTGCCCCTATGGCAATACATTTTCAAGACGGCCGGAGATGGATGCGGGCTCAGTGACTGAAGAAGCTCAACATGTCGTCTCTGCTTAACACACACCACCTGATCCTCACCCCACATGTTTGGCTGTCGTAAAGGCAGTTCAGATCTCACATATCTAAGAGTGCGGTTGACGACTACATTAAGGAACTACTGTAGCTTATCACTCACCCTTCCAATCGCTACAAAATACTCCCATGAAAGCCGAGTCGTCCGCCTGTAAGGCCACGTCTCTTGGTGTGTTCCGGTTCATTCAAGCACGTCAGTTTTACTATAGTTAGAAATGCGTTGTTTTGCTGTGGGGATGGATTCCCCAGTATTGGCATCATTCTCTCTACCCTCATCAACGTACTTTGCGATTGGTCGCAGTGGCTGAAAAAGCTCAGCAGCCTGTCTGGGCGTCCTGCATGTGGCCCTGCCTTCATTCCGTGTACCAATTACTGCAAAAGATATGCTTCTCGCCTAATTGAGATGCCCATTTTCTGATATGCAACGTTTCGCCCTTGGTATCAGCAACGGCAAAATTAAGCTCATTTATGTGTAATTATGGGTTCTGGAATGCAGTTTTTAGTCGAAG